CCAGAACTGTGGGAAATGAAGAAGCTGCCATTTTAGCTTGTTTTGTCACCGTATTTAACACGTAATCACGCTACCAGACTACAAACTGTAGCGTCGCTCTCACGCACTTTGTGATAGATCTGATCCGATCGATATTTAAAATTAAACGTGTCTCCTGCAAATCTTCAAACTTCATGACAGCACACTACTAACATGTATTTATATTTGACCTTAAATATCTATAAAGCTATTTTGTGTGGTGATTTTTCAACTTCAGGCTTGTTGCTCTGGGAGCTGTGAAGTCCCAGTGAACCTTATGCAGGTACAGGGAGAGAAAACTAAAGTCAGAAACATGAGAACAAAGACTGAATTTAAAGTGAACATCCAGTAGTTTGACCATTACTCTGGAGTATAGTTGAGGTTTATGAGCATTTAACCTTATAACGGCCCATGTTTGTGAATATTTCCTCCTCAGAAGATGAAAGACATTTAAAAAAAATAAAAAATAAAAAAAATGTCTGCTACTTTATAATTCCACTAAATCTCTGATGCACTTCACGATGCGCTTCGATCTCTGCTTTGTCCTTGGTTAGAAATCTTTTGAAGTGTTTCTTCTTCAGCTTCTTTCATGTCTACGAATCCTTCAGTGAACACCACCGTCCCTTTATGCCTCCATGCTGGAGACAAAAACACACACACACACACACACACACACACACACACACACTCTGGACTGCCTTTTGATGAGGGTTAAATAACAAACATGAGGTGAGACCATATCACCCCAGCTGTATGAATCTACCTTGCAAATTGTGCCACGATATTTCACCTTTGATCACACTTGGTGCAGTGAGACACGCATAAGCAGGCGAGGTGAAACCGAAACACGCCAGCCATGATCCCTGCCGATGGGGTTTCCCTGGCAACTGTTACTTTCCTTGAATTAATGCCAGATTTTCACCAGAGTCCTCTGTTGCCTGAATTCCACCAAGGCGTGGTTTTCTCGAGAAGAGGGAGCACAGACACTAATGAGAAACACTTTCCAACAGGGATCTGCTGCACAACAGTGGCTGGCATCATCTCCCCAGCCGCGCTCAGCCACAGGCGTGAAATGATACAGTTAAAGCTGCAGAAGGAGCTTAACGCACCTCCATTCTCAAGCGATGGCTGACGAACACCAAGACTAATTATACGAGATGAAAAAAAGGAATCGGAGAGGCCGATATGTTTGATTTATTGTTATTATTAATCAGTTTGGGCAGAGCAGTGGATGAAAATTCCTTGTAGCTGAAGGCCACTGGCTTCTGATGCGTATCCTCCCACAGTCGTGTTTTCTTGTGTCCTTGAGCAAAACACAAAACGCTCCCTTCCTCACTCCACATGAGTCGATCTGGGCAGAAAAATATCTCAAAATCTGAATCTATAATCAAAATCATGCACCTCTCTGCCACCATGAATGTCTGAGCAGAACTTCATTCAGTTGTTGTTGAGGGATTTCAGTCTGGACCCAGGTGGTGGATCACAGCCGTGCCTTGCATGGATAAAAACCTCGTTCAGTCACATTGATAATCAGACCAGCCAGCTCCCTCCTTATTTTAAACTTTCATTCCTGCCAACTGCAAGGATGAATAAATGAATACACGGTCAATCGCATTACTTACAGAATGTGAGCAAACAGGGATTAAATCTGAGTCTCAACTTCATTCTGTGCTCGTTCACTGTCGGGGAAGAGGGGCCGAGCGTCCCTGCCGCTCACAATGGTCATTGATTAAGGCTTCAGTAAAAATAAAGTCTTAAAATCCATCAGTGATGCGGGTCTGTGAGGGAACAGAAAATTCTCCTCTTCCTTCATATCATTAAACTTTTCAACTCGCAGCTGTTTCCCAGCAGCGATTCTGCTTCCTCTCACACATCAGTTGCCAAATATCGCACAACAGCCGTTTCCATTAAAGTCCTGCCATATCTGAATAAAGAAAGAGGGAACATTTACATAAGTCACCTGTGTCTGAATGACAGAAGGCCTGTTACGTTAACAGCTTCGCAGAGCCAGCAATGTTACATGTTCCATGTCTGAAAAGGGCTTGAGATCCCGTACATCAGCCTGTGTGTTGGCATGTAGCAGTTGTGTGTTGGTGAGAGTGTGGGTAGGTGTGAGTGAGTGAGGGAGGGGTGGTGGGTGGGGGTGGGGGGGGCTCCTGCGGGCTTCCACACTGCAGTGAAAAGCCGTTAGAAAATGTTGGAGAGAATATGTCACTGTTGATTTGCTTCGTGTGGGTGTTGGTGATAGACATTTGTTGCTTCTTTGCTAATAACACCTCCTACGAGCCCGGAGCCCGCGCAGCGCCCCGACAGTTTGACACAGAGAGGGAACGCATCAGTCGACTGCATCAGACATTCATGAGATGATAAAGACGTTTTACAGTGTAAAACGCCATGGCGGTGATTGAGGAAGACGTGATGATGGGGTGTTGCTAATTACACAGCAACATCGTGTCCAACTAACAAAGTCGTTTCTGAGGTTAGAGCGATACAACAGGCAGATTGAAGTCTAGATCTGTACATTATGTTTATGATGTATATGAGGAATGTTTTGGTTTGACTGAGTGTGTGAGCCGAACACTGTCCCCCGTGGAATTTAATCTGTGGTGCTTAAACCTTTCAAAACTTTAAATCAATACAATCAATTTTATTTGTATAGTGCCAAATCGACGGGGGGGGGGGCCTCCAACAGAACCGGGCTCAGGGTGGGCGGCCGCCTCGACCGGTTGGGTTTGAGAGGAGAGAGAGGGAGGAGAGAGAGAGAGACCATGAACAGCAGTATACACTGTTGATTGTTAATTGTAATAGTGACAATAATAACAGTTATACCCAGAGGTAATGGAAACCTTTATCAGTGGTTTCTGACAAGACAGCCACAAACTTCAGGCCCATTCACTATCCTTTGTTTTATAATCCATAATCAATGAGACTGCATTTTTAAAGCCAATAATGACGTTGATGGTTAGGAGTGAGAACATGTTGGACATCTTCTTTTTCTTTTCAGGAACGTAAACAAACAATCTTGATGCAGAAACACTGAGGAGAAAACTTGGAGGATATTGTTGTAAATTCAGTATCTGTGGATTCTGGACTCTTGGCTGAAGCCACCTGAAGAAGTCACCTTTGCATCTCTGAGGCTGTGATGAGTATTTTCACTATTTTCTGACATTTTATAGACTAAACAATTGTGATCATTCAAAAATAACCTAGAGTGAAAATAATAAGTTGCATTGCAGTAGTCCAGATGTGAGTGTGAACAAGTGTCAACTCGATGTCTCTGCACAGGAAGAGGAACTGTTCACAGTCAGATCTGTTTTCATTGCACCAGACTTTGAAAGATGTAGGTGTGGAGACTGAATGTCATTTTATTTTGGGTTTTTTTTTTTTTTTTTGCTGAACTGTCCCTTTAAAGGCTGACTACAAGATTTTAAAAGATTTCTTCTTCTTTTTTTTTTTGCAGTTCTTTGCTCGAGGATTCAATGATTCATTCCTGAAATGTCTGCTGGACGAAGGCTAACACTGTGGCTCACCACAGGCTGAACATGCACCCAACATAAACAGAGCTCCACTCCGACATCTGCACCACCTCCAGTCACAAACCACTGGAGTGGAAACGCTTCGCAGATTCTTTTCCTCACTTGTCTTATAGATTTTAATGTGACTCCAAGTTATGATTTCCAACAATCGGCTCGGTGCAGAGGGAATTCCTGCAACATGCCGTTGCAGAAAAGACAGGCTCTGCAACTCGCTGTGCTTTGCTGCAAACCAGCCTGAAAACATCAAACCACATCTGACAGTTCACTGGATGTGTCGTGCTAAACATCCTTGCACGCGCTGCTGCTGTTAATAAGCAGATGGCCTTTGCCTACGCCATCTAAATTCTGATGAACCCAAACATAATAATGAATCCCTCTGGGCGTTTTCTAATCAAAGGAATGACAAAACTCTGGCCTCTCAAAAGTGTTTACAAGCAGCTGAACTGTTGCGTACAGACCAACACTTTCCACATGATTTCCACTCTTAGTGTTGCATCATTTGTTTGATGCACCCATGAATGAACTAACAGCTTCACTGGGCAGTGGTCCGTCTGTTCCATAGGATTAGACCCCTGAGTGCTGGTGACAAACTGGAAACTAAAAGGCCAACAACATATGGAGCAGGGGCTTATGGGATTACCCAATTAACAAGGTGACTCAGAGAGCTGCTAATCTGCAGAATGTTCTGCTGTAGTACAGACACAGACTGTGACGCATGGAGGGGAAGCGCATCTTTTGGGCGTCCACGGCCCAATTAAACACACACACCTCATGTGTGTTTGGTTAAGCAGTCAGGTCTAATTGTATTAAATGTTGAGCCATGCGCTCTGGGTGTCTGGGTGCTCCAACAAACATTCACTTCCTCATCCAGGCAAGAAAAAAAACAATGTGCGTAAAACCGGTCACCGAGCACGTGATGCTGTCAGCAAGAGGTTCATTAATTGTAATTATCCCGACACAAAGTGCGCTGCGGGCAGAAACACCACCTTCAAGTGCTGCTGTCAGCTCTGCGCGCAAATCAAAACGCGCGCTGCGTGGAGGGACAAATGACGCACAAATGGGCCACAAATCCGCGAGTGGACACTTTTAATCAGAAGCACTGGAAACGGGCTCTGTTGATTCTGTTGATCCAGAATCACTCATGAAAAGTTAATGAAACATATTTGTGTGCAGAGTGCGGGCGCAGTAAAAAAAAAAAAAAAAAGAAGTGCCAACTAGATTTGATGTAGTTGATTTGATTTGATTATTATTCCAGAAACCAACCAGTCCCGCAGGAACCCAAACGGGACCCACTCTATTAATACCTGTTAATCACTTACAATACTGTCACAGCCAATGAAAGCTTCCAGAAGTGAATATTCCCTGTTGCATTCTCTGGAAATACCTGTCAATCCCTGACACATTTCATGTATTTGCGAGGCAGTGGGACTGGACGGGGATTCTTACCTTGTGGAAAAGCGTTGGGTTGCACCACGTACAGAAAAGTGTGAACCATGTGGAACAGAATCCCTATCGGTCCCGGTTCGTAATGGGCCAGTGTCTCGTAAACTCCCGCAGGCACATAACCGAAATCCAACTTTCCCGGGGGTGGGAGTCTCCGCGGCTCCGTCTCTTGCTGGAGTTCGCCGGACGCTGAGAGCACCCCCAGCAGCAGCAGCAGCAGGAGGATCCCGGTCTTCCACATCGTGTCCAAACGAGACCCCGACCTGTCGTCAAACTGGGGTTAAATAGAGATGAATATGAGCTGGAAGACGCCCGCCTGGATTCTTCTCTTCCTTATCAAAGAGAAAGGCGTGAGAGTAAATGTGAAAAGTGTCCAGATGGATGGACCGCAGCTTTTTAAGTCGTGCTGCCCGCGGAGAGACTCTTCACGCGCATCCTTCCCCACGGTCTGAGGCTCCCTGACGGACGCGAACCGGGTGATCTTCTCCCCCTTCTCCGGTCTTCAGTCCCATCGAGATGAGCGCGCCTGTCGCTACCACTCCAGCATCTGTGCGTCACGGGAGCGGGCGGGGGTGCGCGCCGCCGCCGCTGCCGCCGCGTCTACACAAGGAGGACTGGCCCAGAGGGAAGCGCTCCTCCTGCCGGGAGAGGAGGATGGAGAGAATATCAACAGCCTGTATTTCAGAAGGTCTCTGATGCCTCCAATGGATGGAACAGCCTGAAAAATAACAAGTATTTATCACCGTGGCACAAATGATATGAACTGAAATCAATGAGGGAAATAGACAGTGGAACTGACTAGCCTACATTTATTTAACTACTTTACTTTGTGGAACTTACCAATTTACCTATATTTATTTATTTGCAGTGACGTCATATTAGATCATTCCAATGTGCCCTCCAAAAGGCATTTAATCCACTGAATGGGGGAGGGGGGGGGGGGGGGGCTATCTGAAGACTGACGTCATATGATAATATCACAGTGGTACCTCAACATCACCAGAAAAATGTCAACTAATGTTGTTTAACCTTGTTAGCTAGCGTTAACTAGAAAGCTAACCCTGGCTTCTGTTGTCTGTAGGCTAGCAGTCAGGTGGACGACAGGAGAAAACATAAAATGGTGGATATATCAAAGTATGAGTTTAATTTCTGTTGGAAAATCCCATGGAAAATGTCACCATGAATACTGTGACTATTTTATTGACTATGAAGTTTTCATACCTTACTTGCTTTTATCTATACATCTGGTAGCACGGTGGTACAGTGGTTGGAACTGTTGCCTCATAGTCAGAATGTACAGGGTTTGAACCCTGTGCCTGAGGCGTTTCTGTGTGCAGTTTTTATGCATTATGAATGATCTGTTCATGAGGCAGCACAGTGGAACGGTGGTTAGAGCTATTGCCTCACAGTGAGAAGGTAGTGGGTTTGAACCCAAGGCCTGGGGCCTCTCTGTTTGGAGTTTGCATATTCTCCCTGTACCTTCATGGAGTCTCTGCAGTAGTCCAATGACATAAACATTACATTAACTGGCGACTCTAATGCCTTACTATACTATGACCTTTGATACCTAACTGTACAATGGCGTTTTTATGCCTTACTATACTATGACATTTTTATGCCTTACTATTCTATGACTTCTTTATGCCTCTGTTAGGAAAATTATCAAATAAAACTCAGGAACACCATCTGAAAATTATAAGAGTAGGATATTTATTCTTGCAGCAAGGGAACAAGTTACACACCAGAGCTCACAGTGCAAATGATCAACGGATGCAAGATTCACAGAATCTTATACACAGAATACGTGAGAGTGACCTTGCATTGTTGCTGAAATGAGACAGACATAATAGAGCCTGATCATAGTTGATCAATGTTTTGGTGTACTGGCCGGGAGAAACAGCGAAGGTCACTGCGCTCCTCTCGGACAACATCTGTCTTACAAGCAAAACACAATAATAGAAAGTTCTATTCAGGATAATACAGTTTCTCAGGATAATACAGGATAATACAGTTTCCCTCTAAGATGTTTATGTTATTCATAAAGTATCACAATTTTTCCAACATTTCCCTCCTGTTAATACTTTATGAACTTCCAGAAAATAAAAAACTCAATTTAAAGCATTTCATCACACAATAAGAATTCTTACTATATACATACAAGTGAATTAGGTTCATCCGTATTTTCCACACACTACTCTTCCTCACAGATTTTCATAGTGTTTACTTGTGTGTACTTTCATTATCAACCTCATCAACATCAATATCAGTTGGTATGTATTGGTACATCATAGTTTTTGTTATGGCAGTATCAATCAGCCTTTGGATGAGTCCTCATAGACATGGTATGCAACAACAACCACAGACAGGAAGAAGAGCCGCTGCAACTGAAATAGAGACTAGAAAAGAAGAGATTAGTCCACTCCACCTCCCAAACCAATTCTCCATCATTCTGGTAAAGGGGTTGTCTACACCAGCATTTTCTGCCAGCTCCTGTGAGAGAGTGTCAGGACCTCGGATGGCTTAGTAAATGCTTCCATCAGGGGCTTGTATTGTTTGGAATGAAAGGTGCAACACATCTCACGAACTCTTACAAAACCCGTCCTTTTCGCTAAGAGCATATCCAGGGCCATTCTGTTACATGTCATGCCATCAGGTTTATTTTCTTCTAATTGTTCAGCTATTTCTTTAAACCATCTTGGTGTGTAGTTCAAACGTTGTTGGTATAAATAAATGTTAATTTTATCATTACATTTTTAATTGATTGTAACCCACCAAAAAGAACATGACTCAAATCTGAGCGGTTCCCTTGATATTCGAGCTTTGATTTCGTCAGGCACCTCGAGGCACCCCGATTCATCGATGTATACTGTGGGTTATCAAGATGATCCGAGAGGATTTGTTCTGCCGTTTTTATTCTATTGTGATATTGGAACATTCCTCTTTGATGCTACAGTATCAGTCAAGGGCAATACATAGAATGGCATAACTAATTGGATCAGAGCACATTTCCCTTTCCAGTCATAAGGTAACATTGACCTCAGTGTTTTACCTCCACAGAACCACCACACATCAGCGCGAGGAGTGGACTGGTCCTTTAACCAGTCGTCCTGAATGCCTGTGCCGTTAATTGATAATGTAACGTTGCACCACGACAGCTCCCCCACATCCTGCCCCGATCCTCTTCGCTCGATACAGGTGTAATTACCTGCATACGGGCTGAAATGAGGCGGTTGGGTTTCTGCAGTTGGAGGGAACAGATAGTGCAAGATGGTACAGTCCTTGAGAGGGTTAGGAGAGTTGAATAGCCTGAGCATACACTGAAATCCATCTGGATCATTGTTTTGATTTAAGGGAAATGGAACTGTGCCTAACCCAGGCCTGGCTGCCGCACATGCTAGACAGATAGTTGTATTTGGTTTATTGTTTTGTGCCGTATAAATTAACCATCGAAGCCATTCATTTGTCTCAACAAACCCTGTCTCAGTAGCTACTTTATCCATTATAGTTGCATTAGTGAGATCTAGGTAAGTCACAATGTTTTATATCTTACTGTACTATGGTGCTTTTTGACTTTTTATGCCTTACTATACTATGACTTTTTTATGCCCCACTATAATATGTTGTTTTTTGATGTTTTTATGCCTTACTATACTATGTTTTTTGACACTTTTATGCCTTACTATACCATGACTTTTGTATGCCTTACTATACTATGATTTTTTTTGACATTTTTATGCCTTACTACACTATGACATTTTTATGCCTTACTATACTATGACTTTTTTGACGTTTTTATGCCTTATTATATTAAAACTTTTTATGCCTTACTTTACTATGACATTTTTATGCCTTACTATACTATGTTGTTTTTTGACGTTTTTATGCCTTACTATAATATGACATTTTTATGCCTTATTATAATATGACATTTTTATGCCTTACTTTACTATGACCTTTTTATGCCTCACTATACTTTGACTTTTTTATGCCTTACTATACTATGACATGTTTATGCCTTACTATACTATAACGTTTTTATACCTTACTTTACTATGTTGTTTTTTGACATTTTTATGCCTTAGTATCCTATGATGTTTTTTGAAATTTTTATGCCTTATTATAATATGACTTTTTATGCCTTTCTATACTATATTGTTTTTTTTGACATTTTATGCCTTTCTTTACTGTGACCTTTTTATGCCTCACTATACTATGTTGTTTTTTGACGTTTTTATGCCTTACTATACTATGTTGTTTTTTGACGTTTTTATGCCTTACTATACTATGATGTTTTTTAACATTTTTTATGCTTTACTATACTATGATGTTTTTTGACATTTTTATGCTTTACTATACTATGACTTTTTTTGCCTTATTATACAATTATGTTTTTTTGACTTTTTATGTCTTATACTAGGATTTTTTATGCCTTACTATACTATGAAGTTTTTTGACATTTTTATTCCTTAATATACTGTGACTTTTTTATGCCCCACTATACTATGTTGTTTTTTGACATTTTTATGCCTTACTATGCTATTACGTTTTTTTTTTTACATTTTTATGCCTTACCATACTATGATTTCTTTTTTAAATTTTTATGCCTTATTATAATATGACCTTTTCATGCCTTCCTTTACTATGACATTTTTATGCCTTACTATACTGTGACATTTTTTGTGCCTTACCATACTATGTTGTTTTTTGACATTTTTATGCCCCACTATACTATGATGTTTTTTGACATTTTTGTGCCTTACTATAAAAGTATGTTTTTTTTTTACTTTTTATGCCTTACTATACTATGACATTTTTTGACATTTTTATGCCTTATTATACTATGACTTTTTTATGCCTCACTATACTATGTTGTTTTTTGACGTTTTTATGCCTTACTATACTATGATGTTTTTTGACATTTTTATGTCTTATTATACCATGACCTTTTTATGCCTTACTATACAATGATGTTTTTTTTACTTTTTATGCCTTACTATACTATGATGTTTTGTGACATTTTTATGCTTTACTATACTATGACTTTTTATGCCCCACTATAATATGTTGTTTTTTGATGTTTTTATGCCTTACTATACTATGTTTTTTGACACTTTTATGCTTTACTATACCATGACTTCTGTATGCCTTACTATACAATGATTTTTTTTGACATTTTTATGCCTTACTATACTATGTTTTTTGACACTTTTATGCTTTACTATACCATGACTTCTGTATGCCTTACTATACTATGACTTTTTTTGCCTTATTATACAATGTTTTTTTGACTTTTTATGCCTTACTATACTATGACTTTTTATGCCTTATTATACTATGACCTTTTATGCCCCATTTTACTATGTTGTATTTTGACATTTTTATGCCTTACTATACTATGACCATTTTATGCCTTACTATATTCTGACTTTTTTGCCTTATTATACAATGATGTTTTTTTTTACTTTTTATGCCTTATTATACTATGACTTTTTATGCCTTATTATACTGTGATGTTTTTTTGACATTT